GTAATATCATGATGCATTTTAGAGGTACCATTACCTAATAAGTAGGCATAAAAAATTAAAAATTATTATTTTATTATCGAAATAAATCGAGGAATCATTCAAATTATAAAATAATCGATTTATATTTATAGAAGTTTTGCAAATTTTTAGGTAAAATGTAAACAAAACCCTTCGAATTAGGAAAAACCATAAAGTATAGTTTGAGAAAAAGATATAGTGTGACTTTAAACCTTTGAAGCCAGCCGACAACATACAAAAAAAAAACTAAGGAAACTGATACCCCTGATACATCGCAATAAAAAATAGTAGAGGAGCATTCAAGAGATTGAGTATACTTATTTTATTTGTACTTTCCTCGATAAAAGGGAAGTTTTGTAATCGTGAAAAAGTCACCCTACGAGAATATTTTAGATTTTCACGTGTTCGGATCCCTAGAATACGAAAAACATGTTTTCCCCATTCAGTAGGTCTATGTGCCGTCCGGCGTCTGTTGTCTGCCGTCTGTCTGTTGGCGCGATAGCTCAAAAACGGCTTAGGAAAAAAACTTTTTGTATGCCGATATATACAGGGTGAGCAGTTAAAAAAATATCTATTTTAAAAGTCAGTAGATTTCGACTAAAATTGGTATCTGATCTAAGATAACAGACATAAATTACTTTTCAAAAATTCAAAATGGCTTCCCTGTTTTTACAATTTATACAGGGTATTTTTGAATGATATGCTCATATTATAGGGTGTGATTCCTCAGGTTATTTTATGAAGAAAAGTTCATATGAACATTTGTTTTTTAAAATCTCTGAAAATATTTTAGATATAATTTTTAATTTTAGCATGTGAATAGGATATAAAACCTATTAACACATATCTACCAAAATTGAAAATAATAAAAGTAGATCGAAAAATGTATGCAGTTGCGGACTATGTTCATATTATGAACTTTATAAAATGACCTGAGGGATCATACTCTGAAATATTAGCACGTCATAATATAGAGGGAAGTTCTATGTAAAAACTTCTCAAACTGGAATGAAGATTAAAGAAGTTCTTAAATTGATAAATATTAAACAACAGCATGGTAGTTTTATAAAAAATAAATGAATGAGAAATGAATGAAATATGGATTTAAAATAATGTAGAGGCACTCAATTTCGCAAGCAACAATTTGTAAAAATGTGCACTTTTTGATATTAATTAGAGTAGGTATCTAAGGTATCTATCTAACTTGTAGTAGGTAATTAATAAATATAGATTTCTGTTGACTATTATGGGGGTAAATTTTGGAGAGATTATTGTTATTATATCCACCCAATTATGAAATTCTCATTACAAATTATTACTTCTCAGCGAGGTCCACGAGAAGGTAAGAGCACTTTCCTCGCCGGGATGGGAATGGGTAATTGGGACTACGGACAAAGGGTAAAATTAAAAATAAAAAAATATATATTCTATAAAACTAAAACATTAATTCCATAATATGGATAGATGTGGGTTTTGAAAGGTAGGAATTTAAAGGTAAAACAATATATAAAATAAATAAAAAGTTATTTTTTCAATGCTCAGCTCTTACGGTAACGGTTAAATATCAATAACACGACAATACACTTAATTAAAAAACATTAATTTTCTTCTAATTCCAGTTCTTCTATTACTCCTTCTTGCATATCCTCTAATTCACTATCACTATCTTCATTCAAATCAATAATTATTATTATTACCATTGTTATCCCAAGGCCTCCATAACTCCATCGTGTTGAATGTACTCCTAAGAAGATGTTCGCTTGACTAAATTGTCTATAGGAAGTGAGTATAAATAGCCATAAAAACGTAAAACTGGACTGGCTCCAGGCAGAGGCGTGCAATGCAACAATATAAATAAAAATGATTATTTTATTTAGGTACATTTCTTATAGAACCTACATAAAATACATCATATTATTATATTATAACGCTTGATTGCGATCGTAATAGTGTTTAAAACGCACTTTGTTATGTGAGTATTATATTATATGGTAATAACAAAAATAATAATACCTACCAGGTGGGTGGGTGGCTCAGTGATAGAGCCCAATTTTTACATCTCGATTGAAATGAGATGTGAATGAGATGTTCGTTCCATGCCAAAAAGTAGGCGTTCTGTGAAGCCAAGTTTATCGATTTAGCCTTTGTTTATGAATGCATGAATATAAAAGTGATTTGTTTGTTTAATTTTTGTTTAGATTTCATTTTATCACGTGACCAATAAAGTCTAGAGCTTTTGTTTATTACATCTACTAGTGTTGGGAGAATCGGATGTTTTTCAGAATCGAACATTTTGAATTCGATTACTTTTGAGAATCGAGCAATTATTCGAATACAAAAGAATCGAATTATTTACGTTTCGTTTCGAGGTCAGCGTCAGCGACATGAAAATAAACGCAAGCACAAGCGATTCAGCCTCTCGACTCGAGTTCCCTAGTGCTCTCGGCAGTCTCAGTCAGGGATCCCAGATCTCACGATAAATCGTGAGATCTCACGATTTAGTACTTAGTCTCACGATCTCACGATAAAGCGCCTGATTCTCACGATATTTTTTAACAAGTTGCTTGCAGAAACGAAACTTAAGTTTTTATAAAAAAAAATTCTTTTTAATTAATCAAACAATTGAATTAGGCTGTAGAGTCCGACCCTGAAACGTGCTAATGCATTGGCCGAAACATGATGGACCACTAACTTTCCATAGTTGGCCCTATCGATATTTTCCAATAGTCTCAAAAGTTACTATCAATAGTACTATCGAAACTTTACCAACATTGATTCAACGGTTGATACGTAGTGAAATAAAGTAATACATTTTATTTATACTAAAAAAAATATTAATTAGTTAGGCCAATTTTCAAAACAGATTTAACATCTAGTGCTGAATTGCTGAGTGCATTCTTATAAATTTGGTTTATTTTTAATTTTAGTTTTTTTGATCGAATTCCGTGAAAATGAACTACTAAAAACATGTAATTTTAAACTATCGATAATATCGATAGTGCTATTGCTAATTATTTTTGTCTTTATCATACGTGTTAGAGAGGTACTGAGATTTAAAAGTCGGCCATTCCCTGCTCTTCACTCGAACAAAGTACATAAAAATCTAAAATACTATATCTATTTAAAATAACCAAAAAAGGTTGACAGCTGTGTGCACGTAGTTTAGATTCAAAAGGAAAGACTTGTATTTCGTGCAAAACTTTTTAATTAATAAATGCAAAGCGCTTTTGGCATTGTGCCATCATCAGTGCTTATTGTCCACAAACATATCCACCAAGCGAGGATGACTAAGAACTTGGTGGATATGTTTGTGGACAATCAGCACTGATGATGGCACAATGCCGAAAGCGCTTTGCATTTATTGATTAAAAAGTTTTGCACGAAATACAAATCTTTCCTTTTATATCTATTTCGCTAAACTGCGCATACGTAGTACAATCTCACGATTTCTCACGATTTTTTTATGATCAAGCTCACGAGTTTAGGCTCAGTACATCTGGGATCCCTGGTCTCAGTTCTTGTCTCAGGTGCCGCCTACCGATTTGTTCTATCTAATAATATATGGATTATTATTGAATAAATAATAACCATTTTTTTATAGGTCGGTGTCGGCAAATATGTATCGCCGTGACTGCCACTTTTTTTTCATTGATTAAGTTATGACTTGTTCATAAAATAATAAATCCCAAAATTCCTATACTTCTAAAAATATTTACGTAATATGCCGCAATCAGAACTACTAAAGTACTATGTTAAATTAAAATTAGTAAATTACGCTTCCTTTGTAATTTTAGTCGGGTCGAATGCACGCTAGAATCGAATACTTTTATAATTTGTATTCGAATAGTCCCATCACTAACATCTACATTTAGATCTAATCCTTTACAACGTGACAAAAAATTCACAACATCTCAGATGCATCCGATGTGGATATTATTCAAACGCGGCATTTATTTCGAAATTCTAAAACTTTCGATGTTACGACACTGGGTCGTGCCACATGTCACAATTCAATTTCTTGCACATTTCTGAATACAGTATTCAAGAATTTGACCAATAATAATTTGGAAGCGACCAATTACATGCGCCGTATTAAACGTGGGAGGTAACATTTGCTGACAGGTAGATGTCCAGTCCATGTGGACCATTCAAATAAGCATACAGGGAGCGGTCAACACAAATTTTATTATTTTATTTCAGTGTGTTATGCAGTAAATTAATCGTGCCTCGTATTTATCTACTATTTTTAAAGGTGATGTATCAGTCTCCTTAGTTTATTTTTGTATGTTTGCCGGCTGGCTTTAAAGGTTTAAATCACACTATATCTTTTTCTCCAACTATAATAAAATTTCTACCCAACCATAAAATACCTTTCACTCCAACCCAAAAATTGCGATGTGGAAAAGTTCAATTGACCCGGTTCTTTAGGATTAAAATTATTATTATGACCGTTAAATATAGTTTATAAGTGAATACAATATTCCAGTAATGTGAATAAATGTTGAAATATTATTCTAAAGTAAAATTTAATGTTTTTTTTTTCTTCTTGTCACATTTAACCTACTTACTACTTACCAACTAGGTACAAGTTTTGACAGATTAATTTTTCATGTAATAGTGCAATTATTAAATTAAAACTAGATATCGCAAAATATATTATTCTTCTAAAACATTTATTGGTATCTGTCTACCTAAATTTGGCAACCTGGATATAAAAACAAGTACGCTTAAAAATAAAATTGTAATACGAGCTAGAGGTACAGGTATTGCCATCTATGTACAATGTATTGAATACTTGCTTTGTTGCAAAACCGCTGGCTCAAATGTCGCAGCCTTAAGGCCTAATTGGATATGATAGATACCTAAGAAACAACCGTTACCACATATTAAAGTTTAAATACCTGACTTTCTTTCTCAACTTTAACTACCTAGTAATTTTTTTTTAAAAAACAAAAATGAGTATCATTTGTTTTGTATTTCAGATAAACCAAAAACTGTAGAAGACGTGGATATAGAAAAAAGTATAATTAATGAAATGATTCAAATCGTTGAAAAACGTGATTCCCTCATAACCGAAATCGAAGAAGATAAAATACGGTAATTATTTTTTTTTTTATTAAAACCAAATCCGTAAAATTATTTTTCTCTCTTTCAGATACTCTCATGAAGACAAAGACTTAGAAGAACAAATGCTTGCTAAGGGATTGATTTTAACACCAGTTAAAAAATCGCCGGTGCATTAGAACTAATTGAAACGGGGAATTGAATAGAATTTGGTTTATCCAAGTTAAATTTACATTTACAATGAGTAGATAAATTTTAATATTTTGTCCCAAATTTTTTGCTTGAAATCTTTTACAGTGAGTCAATATTTTCATTTATAGAGGTTGTTATAACTAATTTAACTTGGATACACTTACGTGATTATGAATGCCTGTTATTTTTTCAGCTCATACATATTTACGTACTTTTTTAAATGCATCACAGTATGATAAAAATATAACGGGCATATTATGATAACAATCATTATTTTTTATTGAATTGATCGTTCTCTTGAACGGAAGTAGGTGTTTTATTTATTTTTATACGTACCTAAAGTAAAATATTTAAGAGTGATATTTTTTATATATTCATAATATTTCATGGGTTTCCCGCGCGCCGAATGGAGATAATGTGGGTAAGAAAAGTGGGCTGTAAAAATGGGGGTTTGATCTTAATAAAAAGATGAAGAATTGTCCAATTATAAAAGTAATAAATTCTTCTACAATGGTGAACTGTGAGGATGAGTGCATTAAGAAAAAATATATATCTTACATGTTTTAGATATGTCGGATCGTAGGTTAGTATTTGACAACTTCAAAACATACAAACGGTACTAAAAACATATTTAAACAAAAGTGACGTGACATAATTAACTGCACTAATCAAGTCAAGTGGAGAGTATGAGATCAAAGACTATCTTTTGTACAGCTGTATTTTTCAGAAGACATAGTAACTACTTGTTTAGTTATTCTAAAAGTTAATACTTTTTATATTTGGTATACTCTTAATCAAGAATGAATAAATAAATATCCCCCACATTTTAATTGCCGGCAGCATATAGAATACAGAAAAAAATTTGTATAAAATTGTTTTATCATTAATTTTGATTTTTTTTGTAAATAACATTTACAAATCGTTTTAAATTATATTTGGTTGTATTTTATATATTTATATTTTTTAGGTAATTAAGATCAACATATTTACATTTACAATTTTTTTAAATATATATTTTTTTTGTGTCCAGTTGATTAGACACGAATATTTATTGTGTAATCAGATGTGATAATAACAGTAAGAAAAAGAAGAAAGATCGCAATAATAGGAAAACAACCCAGGTCGGTTTGAGTTGATGAGAAAGTTTTTTTTGATTATATACATTAATCGATTGATTTAAATCAAACCGTATACGGGATGGTTCACATTTAATGGCACATATTCAGTGATCATTTTATTTCTTGAGCACTTCAGGTCCCCGTCCCCTTCTTTCTCTTTTATTTATTAATCGTTTTATTAATAATACAACTCTTCTTCAAAATCAACTAGAAAAATGTTTCCTAATAATTTGCGTTTCCATTCGTTTTGTATTTATCTAAATTTATTTCCAAATTCCATGAACAATTTTGTGGGTCTAAAAGATCTTGTTACATCACCGTAATTATGTGCAATTTCAAGTTTTCCTTCCTTCCACATACCCGTTTATTTTAGAATGACTTATCTGTCAATTATAATTATATTTTAAACCTTAAAATGTCATGTCGCTATTAAGTGGCATTTGTGCGTCAAAGGGTGCAATAATTGACAAATCGAGGGCCACAACGCAGGACTTTGTAACTAACATTTACGCTGAAAATTATATTTTATGAAAATCTCGTTTAAAACATTTCGTTCCATCTACTGTATAGAGGGAGTTTTACAATTCTTGAACAAAACGTTGGTAAATATGTATTTTAGTCCTATTGTAGAGTAAAATGGATTGTTCTATGCACTTGTGAATCGTTTTTTCATCTCCTGGAAAATGATGATTTTGTGACTTACAAGGACCTAACTTGTGCCCCTCGATATACTGATCAGTGATAAAAGTGTGTGGTATGATCAGTCTATACCTTTTAAGACAAATTTTTTTCATGATAGAATTTTGACTTTTATCAAATGGAAACTAGGTTTATCAGTATTTTTATGCTCATTTGGAATTATTAATTGTCTCAAATACTTAGTATTTTTTGCGTACAAGGTTTATCGAAAACTGAATGGGGTTTAAGGTTTTTAAAATAGATTTTGTAGGATATATGACTGTTCAAAAATTTCATTTATGAAGATATTTACAAACATGAAAACTTCATATAACTACTACCAATCATTCTATAACCACAGTAACTTTTTATTTTCTTCTCTTACAAATAGAACAATTTTAGTTGAATTTTATACCGATGCCAAAATAGGTGTAGATTTTCCATATTTTACGATTCTGGAATTCCGTATTCGATATACCTTGTGCGAGTGTTCCACTATAAAGTAACAGGAACACAATCTTATATTAACCTATATAAAAAGACCTAATAAATTGCACGATAGTAAATATTTGAAGTAACTAGTCTTTATTTGTAATATTTATAGTTGTATGTTCCATTGTAAGAAAAACATTTTATATTCAAAAAAAAACAGTTTCACGTCCATTAATAGAATTTCCATGACTTAATTATAAACAAATTTTAAATTGTGATTTTCTTGCAATGGAACATTTTTTTTAGTATATACAAGTACATTGTGATTAAAAATGCATTTTTTACAGAAGGAATTGTAAAGAAATGTACAGATATAATTTTGTGAATGCATTTTATGTGAGTAAGAATAAAGTGCTTTTATAAATTATGAATTTTATTATCATCCAATGTTTAATTTATTTTAACTTCTTAACAGGTTGTCAGTTTCATATTATATTTTGGTGTTTTACAAATTAAAGACAAACCATTTCGGATTGAATATATTTATTTAAAAGCATGCAATAAAAATTGGAATGTTACATTTATCCAAAAATATATATAAAAAATAGTTTACAAAAATAATTATATACGTAGGCAAAAATCAACAATCACAATTATTTCCCAAATTGTGTATTTTCATATACATTATAAGTATAATCAATACCATTCTCTGTTTGCAGTTCTTCAGGCACATCCGGATCACTAAAAGGAAAGTTATTTTCAAATTATCTTTAGGAGAACCTTAAAATTATTACTTACCTGACTTTTTTTAAGTTTGTAGGTAGAGGGGGGAAGAAGGTGTCACAATCGAAAGTTTTTAAAATTTTGGTTAAATACAGCCTGTGAAAACTATCAGATTTCAGAGCAGCCTAAAACAATAATTTGTGTATCAGGATACAATATTTAAAGAGGTAACAGTATGGATCAAAATAAACTAAAAAGGGTAATCTTGTAGTTGACGGTCCTTGTAATGCGCATGTCCACACCATTCTACACTGACATCTAGAATTTGAATAATATAATAATAATCTTTATGCCAACTACACGCTCTGGCCCGCCTGTACACGAATATTTAGAATTTGGACGTTCATTAATGTCATGGGCCATACACAATTAAAATATTTATACTGGGGAATAGAGAGATATTGCAAATTTCTATAACGTCAGCCACTAATAGTGACAATGTAATAATTAACAGGCAAATAATTTCCATGCTAAAATAAGACTTATTGCAAACCTGAAATTTTGACATTAGAGTCCTTGTCCTTATACATATTTCTAACCTCATTTTAAAAATTTTAAATTACAGTTCATATTTTTAGTTTATAATAGTACATAATATGAAAGAGGCATTAGAAATTACCATTTTGGAAGGTTTAGATGACGATGATATTAAATATTTAATATTAAGAAACTTCGAACTGATACGAATGTTGGCGAGCGCAACCGAATACTATAAAGTCGCCACTAACTGCTGTCCTTAAACATCTACAATCTTTATTAAAGTCAGTTCTAGAATGTAAGTGATCTACTCATGCTCAGATATCAAAATAAGAGCGGCACTAATAGTGACTGAACTTGCAATAACTCTCTTAGCTGTAATATATACAGGGTGGTTGTAAATACGGACAAAAATTAACTTGTTCCCGGGAGCCCATCTAGAGATTGGAATAAATGAATCTGAAGAAGTAGGATATATAAATCGTGGTACAATAAGCCAATGAATATGCATTGTCACTATGCTGAAATCCTATAGGGGAGACTGGGCCATTCAAGGCGGGGAGTCTGAAACAATCAAGGTGGTTCATAAGGATACCTGGCAGGAAGGTAGAAGAGGAGGAAAAAGAAAGGCGTAAAAAAGCTGAGGTAGGAATTATGAATGGTTTGTTGCTAATTCAAGAAAACCTTAAGCAAGAGGTAGGTCAGCTAAATAGCCGAGTAGATCTCTTAACACAACAAGATAATTTAAAAGCCAATTTAGAACAGTAGCAAGAGCATCTAAAAACTAATTTACAGAACCTAAAAATGAATTTAGAACAACAACAAGCGAATTTAAAGACTAATTTAGAACATCAACAAGAACAGGCTAGAATAGAATTGGAAAGGCAGATTAGAGCTGAAATGGCCGAGTTAGAGGAAAGAATTCGTAGCCAAGCTTCCGTAACCGACCCAAGCCATATTCAAACCCCAGTCTCACAAAACCATAGTAGCAAGACCCTGAAACCACCCACGTTTGACGGTCAGACAACATGGAAAACATATCGACTCCAATTTGAAGCTGCAGTTAGAGCCAATGGCTGGGCCGAGAAAGAGATGGCGGCTTCATTGATAGTGTCACTGCGAGGTCAGGCAGCAACCGCTTTACAGTTACTTTCCCAAGAAGAACCCAGTTATTCATCTCTCGTCCAAGTTTTGGAGACAAGATATGGTCAGCAGCATTTAAAACAGGTATTCCAAAGCCAGCTAAAAGTCCGTAGTCAGAAACACAATGAGAGTACAAGAATTTTAAGCCGATATTAAAAGATTGCTACATCTGGCCTATCCACAGGCACCTAAAGATTTCTTAGAACAAATCGGCATACAAGCATTCATTGATGGACTACAAGACGTGGAACTGCAGCAGGTTCTTCGGCTACAACACCACAAGACATTGAATGAGACACTTATTGCAGCCCAGGAATACGAAGCAGCAAAAACTATATCTAGATCTCGTGCAAAATTGAGAGAAATTATATTCCAAGAAAGTGAAGAGGCCACTACTCAAGGGCGTCGCCAGCCGGTAAGCTAGGGGGGGCACCATAAAAAAAACAAGAGAAAAATCCAAAAAGAAAAGCTTTAATAAAAAAATTAGAAAACGAACAAAATATCTATATAGAAAATCAATTGAAACATAATCTTCTAGGATTCTTTGCGAATTCGTTAGTCACTTTGTTAACAAAATCGTTCAAGTTTTTGAAAATGTGTTGCCTGTGTACACTCATCATTGCGAGGCCATTGAGTCGAGCTTCAGACATGGTGCTCCTCAACCAGGTTTTGATTCTCCTAAGGCTACTAAATGACCTTTCCACGGTACAAGTCTTACAAGGTAAAGCAACAAGGATCTTCAAGGCCTTCTTAATTTCAGGAAAAAATCTTCAGTTTCCTTGAGGATTTCCACAACACTCACACTCAATTTGGTCGATTCTGGTTTTTCCTCCCATATTTTTTTCCAAAGCTCTATCTCATTTTTGATATTTGTAAGACCGTACAAATTTTTGAATTCCTCGCAAGCTTCTTCAAGTTCTTCCAAAGAAATGTTTTTCATTTACGCAGGATGTAGTTTTGTTAAAGTAAATGATGGTCTATTTTCTTCAGAAAACCTTATTTCTAGGGAATTTATAAATGAGTCCAAATAAGGAATTGTTATGGACCTGCGCCAGAATTCTAAGGGGCTTTTTGCCGGGAGGTTGCTGCGGTGTTGTTGTCTTTCAGCAGTACGGGGTATTGATAGTATTGATTTTATATCTTCAGCAGCCAATCCAATTTTTTCCGCAATAGCAGCAGTATCTTTGAAAATTTCTTCTGTTACTTTATCGGGGTTTTCACGGTGGTTTTTGATTAGTTTTAAAATACGACCAATATGCTGGGATGCCTGAACCGCATCCAAGGAGACTGATTGGAGCACGTTTACTGTGGGTTCTAAAAGAGGGGAATATTTAGCTATCAATACAACGCTAAAAAAAAAAAAAGAAACTTTGGAAGCTGCAGCATGGAGCTGATACGCATGTTTCCTTGTCGCATTATTGCCATCTCGAGACAAGGTTTCTAGTGCCTCCATTATAGCACAAAAATTATCTTTAAAAACTCTGATGCTCTTGTATTTCTCGCTCCACCTTGTTTCGCACAACTTGGTAATATTGGGTATTAATTTTCTTAGAACCGATTCACGAAAAAATGTAATTATATCTTTGATGGTCCCAACTGTATTCCGGATGTCAGGCAGAGCATTCAGGTCATTGATAACCAGGTTGAGCTTATGTGACGAGCAATGAAAAAATAGTGCTTTAATGTATTTTTTACGAAAACTAGCCTGAACGCCACCTTCTTTTCCAGACATCGTGGAACAATCGTCGAATCCCAAACCAACGCATTTATCTGGATCGAGATCTTCTATTGTCAGAAATTCGTTTATTGCCGTGGCAATCGATTTTGCGTCCAAGGCTGTAAGCTCAGCAAATCCGAGGAATACTTCTTCAATGTTGCTGGTTTCTTCATCAAAATATCTTATGCCAACTGAGAGCTGTTCCTTACCAGAGATGTCCGCTGTTTCATCTGCTAAAATGCTATATGCTTCCGATTTCTTCACATTTTTGATTATATCTGCCTTAATAACATCTCCACAAATACTGATAATCTGATTCTGGATATCTACTGATCGATAACTCGCATTTTTTTTTCCACACTCAAGATGGTTTTTTAAAGTCGTGTCTCCTGCGTCAATTCGCATCTTATACAACCCTTCCAGAATTCCATCACCATAGTTTGTCCCTCTTAATGCTAGGTCGTGGGATCCGCAAAAAGCAATGCAGGAAATAATCGATCTAATAATTTTCCTGTTTTTTTCAAGACTTTCCTGAGTGTACTTGTTCATTTGTACATCCACTGGCATTTCCGCAAGAAATGATCTAGCTGCTTCCATTGCCTTCTTATGAAAGTGGGTATCTGCGTGTTTTCTGCAATATTCATGAACATCTTTGAATTTACAAAACGGCCTTATACTTAATGAACCTAAAACACCTCTAACGGAGCTCAGATTGGGTGGAAATAGTGTACAGAATTTACAGAAAGCTACTTTTTGTTGGCGGGAGTATGCTAACCATGGTGAGTACATTTCCAACTAGGAATGATTGAATTTTCTTTTCAGATGCTGGTCATCTTTGGCAAAGTCGTACGGTTTAGGTGGTATCCAACAGTTTTCTAGTATTTCTTTTTTCCGCTCGGTTGATAAAGTCGCAGCTCGACCAACAAATCGACCGATGTCATTTTCATTGCTATCATCTATTGTTGAATACACATCCAAATCTGAAACAAATACGTATATTGCGATCACTCATTTCTTACTGTCTTACTGAGAGCTGCGTCTTATGCTTGCTTAGATGCGGATAGATGCACAAACATACAGATAAACCCCCTTCTTTGCCGGTGGTGAAAAATATGAAAAATCATATGGCCGTCAATCCTACCAATAAAACCATACCTTTGGAGCAACTTGACCTAGGCGAAGTCACAGAACTAGCACTGGTGATTTGATCAAAATTATGAAGATTAGAATCTGCTGTTGCAGTCTCTTTTTTATGACTAGTTCTTCCATCGCTGTCACTACTGTCACTTCTTTCTTCAGGTTTTTTTCTTTTCAACGTTTCTGCAAAGAAAAAAATGAATTGAATTTATACCTTGGGATCTCACAAACTTACCCACCCCCTTGTTTTTATTTCCCTCCCGAATGTTATTTGTTTTGCCTATATATTCAACATAATTAATCCTTCAAAAAAATTACAAAAGAAAGTAGTGAAAGTGAAATGCATACTAAATTTAAATTATTTGGAACGTGTTAAAAAAAGTATATATTAAAATTTGTTGAAAATAAATCCGTACATCACAATACTAGGCAAAAAAAGCATTTAAAACTTTTTCAAATTTTGGCAATAAATCAATTTTATTAAGTGGTGTTGAAATCTATAATATATTGCCAACTGAAAGTGTCTACGTAAAAATCAGTAAACGTGGCAATGCCGAGAGAGTTCGCAGAGCTTGTGTTACGTAACCACCCTTCCCGCGCATCTCGGATTAAAACAATAAAAATCGTGATTTTTTGCAAGCTCAGACACGAGTCGATCACGAAAACGGGAAGTTAGCCGTAGAAGACTCAATAGACATTTCATTTCGTTAGTTCATTGTTTTCTTACTATAAACCTTATATTCATTTAATTTAATACAGTCCATGTTTTTCGTTTAGTGAAATAAATAGTTGTTTTATTTACAACCGAAAAGTTATTTTACAATTAAAAAAGCATTTTTTAAAATAACAATATTTATGACTAAAAACGTTTTGATGTTATTGTTTAATATTATTATATTTGTAATTATTTTAGTATTAGTATGAATAATAATGTATGTTTTTTTAGGTATATTATTATTATTATTTGTATTGCTTACCCTACTATAAGCATCTTTATATGTTTCTTGGATAGATAAAAATAAATAAATAATCTTTACTTACCAAAAAACTTCCTGATATCCATGTATTTAAGTTAAACTGCAACTGCAAAAAAGTAACGGAAGAGAAATCCCACAAATAGTACATGTAAATCACAATCACACTTATCTACTATTACGCGATCGCATCGCGGGTGTAACAAAAAACAAAACTAAAACACAGGTCCGTTGAAGGCCGAGAAATAGAGGGGGTTTCATTCGCGAACCAGTCTTGCCGCTTCTTCCGAAAGTTCTTGGCTCAATTAGCAGGGTGACTGGAGAGCGGTAACCTCTAGGGGGGGCAACTGCCCCCCCCCCCCTGCCCCTCTGGCGACGCCCTTGCCACTACTAATACTATCCTTCAACCTACCCTCGCACAAATATTAAATATCCAACAAAATAGCCCAAATGAGAGCAGAAGATGCTTCAATTGCGGAAGAATTGGACACCTCCAAAGAAGTTGTCGAAGCAGGGCTCGTTCTACAAATCGAGAATCGGGCAATAATACCAGAAATTCACCTAGATCAACCTCCCGAAGCCCGTCACGAAGTCCATCAAGAAATAATTACAGAAGATATGCCTCCCGGAGAAATCGGCCACCCACACCTAGCCGGCTTTCTAACAGTAGTCAGGGAAACGAATAAAGGTCGACACTACGGGGCAGGCGTCGGCTGTAATAGAGGGCCCCAAAATTCGCACTTACACCTTATATAAAAACGAACAAAATATATTGGTCAAGGGGTATATCGATAACCAAGAAGGCACCTTCGTCCTTGATACTGGTGCAACTGTCTTTCATTCGACCAAAGATCCTGCATCGAAAACCACGACCAACTCGAAGAAGCTTAGTTCTAGAAATAGCCACAGGGCACTACTCCTTTTCTAGGCGAGATATCAGCAACCCTACAGATTGATAATACCCTGATAGAACACTTATTTCTGATGGCCGATATAATAATAAATGTCTTTATTATTTCCATTTTGAATATACAGAATAATTACAAATTACATATCAATTACATTTTATGCAAAATGAGAAATAAAGGGCGAAGTTCAATTCATGTGATGAAAATTCACCACTGTATTGCTCTTCCACTTAACCCAAAACAATAAAAAAAAATATTAACATTTTTATGAATATATATCGCTTGAACCGTTCAAAACACAGAAAATAAAAAAATTGGAAAGACATATATAAGTACCTATTAAACACTATCTGAGCATTTACAATTATGCAGCATATAACACATTTCTATATGATTTCTTGAATTTTTCATGACTGACGGATTTTAGTGAATTTGGAACATTATTATAAATTGCACATACATGATAAGAGAAACATCGTCTAAACAGCTCTAACCTAAATGATGGTGGAGATGTAACCTTATATGTCTTATATTTAAATTGTGCACGTCAGTTCGATAAGTAATTTTCCTGTACAAATATAATGTAGTTTTACTAACAATAATTTTGTGAAATGTACATTGCAGCATGAAGTGTTCTTCTATTGTACATGTTAAGCCATCCTATTTCCTTTAATTTGTGAGAAATAGGCAGTCTTCTTCGAATACCGAAAATTAAGCGAAGGCAAGAGTTTTGTACCTTTTGAATTTTTTGTTTATATTGGCTGGTTAAGAATGGCCCATACAGGACATCTGCATGATTAAAGATCGAGAGAATTAGACTTTCACATAAAAGCTTTTTGTTATCAGAAGATAAGAACTGCCTATTTCCATATATCAATTTGATTGTTGAGTATGCACGCCCAATTAAGTTATTTACATGTTTTTCAAAACGCAAATTAGCATCTAAAACTACACCAATACTTTTAACGTGATTTATTTTCAAACAGTAGTCAGAAGCTGATTTTACAAATAACTCAAGGTCTCTATTTATACAAGCACATGCATCATCTACTTTATTGGGGTCAAAACTATAGTAAAGTTGAGTGTCATCCGCATACAAGTGAGCATTACAGCTTTGAAAGCATTTTAAAATATTGGATGTATACAGAGTAAAGAGTAGGGGACCCAAAATAGAACCCTGAGGTATACCACATTGGAGATCTAAGTAAGGAGAAGACTGACCTTTGATCGTAACTAGCTGTTGTCGATTTGTTAGGTACGAATTTAAAAGAGACACTGCATTCTGGGAAAGACCTAAATAACTTAGAATAGATGACATTAATTTATAGTTAAGAGTGTCAAATGCCCTACTAAAATCTAGTAGGACCAAAAGTGTGCAATGACCCTTACCCAGAGATTTAATAATATCATCCACCACATGGAGTAAAGCAGTTGTGCAGCTATAGCCTTTACGAAAACCTGATTGAGTTACAGGTAACAAAGGGTAGACGTCAATATATTCCCTAAGTTTCACTTCTATAGCTTTCTCTAAGATTTTAGATAATGTTGGCAACATGCTAATAGGTCGAAGATCTTTATATTCTCGAGGATGATTTTTTTGGCAACACCTTCACCACCGCTCTCCTCCATGAAAGCGGAAAAATATTATTAGGCAAAAATTAATAATATGCGTAATATATTGAACAATGTGTGGACAGCAATATCGAATTAGTCTTATACTAATTCCATTACCCCCTGTAGCATTAGTCTTTATCTAAATAAATAGTTCACAATTTCAAAAAATCTTCACTTGAAAGAATTTTGTATACATTTTCAGTTCCTTCCAGCTTGATGAAAATTGTACAAGAATTGGTCCAGGTTTTCCCATTTTTAACAATTTTTGTTATCGCCATCTTTAATAGTATTGATTGCTCAGGAGTAAGACCTTCTCTTATATTAATTTTTGTAGATTTCAACAACTCATTGGAGTATACCGTATTTCTTGCAAATGCGTTATAGAATTTTACCAATATAGGTCTTGTTTTACCGATAACTTTTCCAATCCTATAAGCACATTCTATATCAGACGAGCTTACGTTTAATTGCATTTTATGAAAAGTATTTAAAACACTGTTTGAACAGTTCTCTTCTTTAATCTCATTAACACCATACATTAGCAGGTTTAGGCGTCGTACGCGTTGTTCATATTTTTCTTGTCGAGACAACATGAGTTTAATTACTTAATTTTGATTTTCTAAAGATTCCTCAAGTTTGGTGACAATGGGGTCTATTCTGTAACAATTCCTTTATATTTAACGGCCTTTAAAAATATTGGCGGCCTATAAAAATATGTTCGTATTCGTTAATTTACTTCTGTCATTATTTAAACAGATTTCTTTAAGATAGTCCTCTAATGTATTTTAAAGATCCGTTTAAATAATGTCAGAAGTAAAGAAGAAAATATTTTTAAAGGCCGTTAAATATAAAGGAATTTTTACAGAATAGACCACCTTATCCTTTAAAAATTAAAATTCGCCTTGAAATTTATTGGAAATAATATTAAATAATTCACTATTGTTTTAATCGATTGGTGCAGTTCTTCCTTACCTTTCTTACTACGTGAACCCATTACGAAAAAATAAATGCAATTTTTGAAACACCTACAGTATATATGTTTAGAACTTAATGAACTAGCTGACAGTTACTATAGGTACAGTACCTCCAAGAATTTTCACAAATAAAAATGCCGTTTTTCCCACAACTTTTGCATAAATAGCAACACACTATGCGATACACGTCTATTCACTACGAAACATATTAAGGACCAGTGTGTCCTTGGTATGGACATTATGCAAAATAAGTTTATCATCGACCTTCAAAACAAGATCTTGGTAATTGTAAACGAGGAAATTGTCCTAAATTTGAAAGAAAGGGTCAACCGATAAAGGTCCTAGTGGAGGAAGACATAAAAGTACCCCAAAATTCTGAAGCCCAAACAGCTTACATGTGGTCATTGTGGAAAGTGAAGAATCTGTGAGTGACGGAATTCTGGTAGCTAGATGTCTTGTTAACGTTGATCAATTAATTCCAGTAAGGGTTGCCAATTTATCGAAGACACCATTTAAACTGAAGAAAGGACAAGCAATAGGGCTCTGTACACCGGTGAAAAACATAATCAAGTGCAAAGATTGTTCCACTGGAAAAGCCACCACAAGTAACTCAGTTGATGCCAGCTTTGTTAAACAGCTAGTTAAGAATTACGACCACCTGACAGCTGAAGAACTTAGAAAAGTCAAAGAATTTATCAATACCAATTCTGACATTTTCGAGGTAGGAAAATCTACGGGACGTACCAGTCTTGTTCAGCATAGAATTCATACAGGCGATGCAAGGCCAATACGACAAGCACCTAGAAGACTTCCATTTGCTAAACAAAAAGAAGTAGCAAATATGATACAGGACATGATGGATGCAAATATTATTGAAGAATCTTCTGGTCCCTGGTGCTCACCTGTGGCCCTAGTAACTAAGAACACGTGGGCGCCGTGCTATCCCAAGAACAGGAGGGGGAAGAGAAAGTAATTGCGTATTTTAGTAACACCTTAGGAAAAGCTGAGAAGAATTATTGCGTCACAAGAAAAGAACTTTTAGCCATTGTCAAAGCCCTCGAACACTTCCACATCTACCTTTTTAACAGAAGTTTTATTATTAGAAGTAACCATAGCGCCTTGCAGTGGCTGATGAATTTTAAAAAATCTGAAGGACCAGTTGCTAGATGGATAGAAAGACTGCAACAATACAACTTCGAGATAGTGCATAGCAACGCAGACATTATTTCGAGGCGACCATGTTTAGATCGACAATGCCGGTACTGTAAAAGGCTTGAAGAACGAGAGGAGCTGGTTGAAGAAGTCTTCAGGCAACCACTATCAAACCAGAGGATGACGAAGACGGAATTACCCTTGAAAGCCTATGAAAGACAATGACTTGAAGGTTGTCCGAGAATGGCTCAAAAATGGAGTCAGACCTACATGGCAAGAGATAGCCAAATATAGTGGAACCGTTAAAGGGTACTGGACTCAGTAGGATTCCCTGTATCTTCTCGATGGCCTTTGCACCGGAAGTGGGAGAGCCTTGATGGAGTACATGTAGTCCGCCAAGTGATACTGCCGAAATCACAGGTCAGAAGTATGTTGGAGGAGCTTCATAGCAGCCGTTCAGGAGGACACTTTGGTACTAAAAGGACACTTGCACGAGTTCGGGAAAGATTTTATTGGGTCAATTGCCGACGGGATGTAGAAGATTGATGTAAGGAATGTTGACCTGTGTAATGGCAGAAAAGGGCCCAAAACAAGAAGTCGTGGTAAAATGGCGCAGTACCTTTCCGGAGAGCCTTTCGAACGAATCGCCAGCTTTATTCCGGCGTTCAATGAACTGATTAGATTTTGGGCAGTCGGAACATCTGGGGGAGTACTTTATAGGAGGTTATTTTTATATTTTATGGAATATATCTGTTATTTACGTTTGGAGAAGAAAATTCCTCAAATAAAAGTTACTTACAATATTATCAATATTTTTTGTTCTACACAAAATTTTCCTAAAATGGTCCGTATTCGAGAAATTTTACAAAATGTAAAAAAAATATTTTATAAAAATTGTTCAAATAAAAGTTGTTTGTAATATAATTGTCTATAATTTTTATCCCATACATAATTTCTCTAAAATGGACCGTATTCGATATATTTGAGAAAATGTGTAAATTTCGAATTTTGAAGAAAACTCAAAAACGGATAAAGAAAAAAACATTAAATTTTTAACTTAAGTTTTATTTCGGCCTGACGTGAAATGATTAGATTTTGGACAAAGTCGGAACATCTGGGGGGTACTTTATGGAAGGTCGTTTTATATTTTATAGAATATATGTTATTTATGTTTGGAGAAGAAAATTGTTTAAATAAAAGTTACTTCTAATATTATTATCTATAATTTTTGCATTATGTCAAACTTTCCTGAAATGGTCCGTATTCGAGAAATTTGTCAAAATGGGGAAAATTCCGATTTTTAAGAAAATTGTTAAACTAAAAGTTGTTTGCGATATCGATCTCTATAATTTTTGTTTATACATGATTTTTCTAAAATGGACCGTAATGGAAAAATTTGAGGAAAAGTGCTAAATTTGAATTTTTCAGTATTTTCGTTTTCAATGAATATAGAAAAATGTTTCGAGGTAGATGTATGTGGAAAATGTATATATTTAGTTTATCCTCTAAACATTTATAGAGGTGCTGCAATAGGTTGTACAAGATAACTGGAAAAAGCCTATAATAACTAGATAGGAAAGTCATGTGTTGGACACATCAGATTTTTAAAATTTTAAATAAATATTTTCAACAACTTTTAGAACCAGTTTTAATACTACGTCATAGATTGTGAAAGCGCTCAAATAGATTATTTTAAAACAGTGATGTCACTAACAGTTAACGATTTGTGAGTATGTGAATCTCTAGCAACAGATATTTTGCCTATGTCAAAGAGAAACTCATATAATATTACCAGAGTTTTATGAAAAATGGAGCGTTATTTACAATCCGACTTTATCCAGTTATTTAGAATTACAAGGTCAAGTTTTCAAAAATTATTAAAAATTTTAAACCTTCAATTATGCATCTTCTAATTTTTCTTATAACCATAAATAATCTTTTTTATCATTAAATTTATTATATATGCTATGCTCTATGATGTTCGTTACTATTTTTGACATTAATGACATTTGTATTTCCTTGACCGTTCTTAATGAAACGTTTCAAAAACAAATGCAGCTGTTTTAAAATTAATTCAATTTTCAAACTGCATGAAATATATTTAAACCAGTCAACTGCTCGAATATGGCTTAAATATACATTAAAATGAGTTATTCTTGTGTACAATCGATAAATAACATTTCTATTTTTATTTAGTTTATAAATAATTTGTTAATTTAAATAGAAACCATATGAAGTCAATTTAATTACGAGTATTAAAGCAAAAATGTTAACTGCATAGATGGTGTGAGGTCTGCCTTTCATGAGGAACGCCCGAGTTCAAATCTCGGATGGGGACAAATTAAATAATATTTTTTTCTTTTATTTTATAAATTAGTAAGTCATAAATTATTTTTAAATTAGTTATTTTATCTTAATAACGTAAAATAATATTTATTCCTACTGGATTTTCGCTAGTGGGTCGTAGAAAAAAATATACTGTACAACTCGAGTGGATTGTTCATATCATATTCACTCTTGTTGCACAAACTACTATAAAGTTGTGTATTACCAATAGCAGGTTCTGACAAGTTATTATTTCATACAGTGTCATTATTTTTAAGTTCTGAGAAAAGAGGTCTACATAGCTGGCTTAACAAGATACGCAGGTTATGGCTCTTATGGCTGATTTTTGTTGTCATTTTTGATTAACTTGTAACTGCAGCTTCTCAAAGGTATTTACAAATAAGAAATCTAGAATGTTTAAATCAGGTCATAATAAAGGTCCATCTTTTCCTATCTATGTACAGCAATAGCGACAGAATGGTACACAATAGATCTTTTAGATTGCAGTGTTTTATTACCCCATACATAACATCCATCTGCATGGAAATTAAAAAATGAGTGTCTTGCTGGAACTACATGTTTTCCAAAGGAATGGCATCTACAAGATTACACATTGTGTTCTGCAGAAAGTTTAGATAAGCAGCACCTGTTAATCGGTTTGGTACAACAACATCGGCCAACTATGATAACAAAAAGCAAGTTTTTGCAAAATAAAAACAGAATAACCTTTCATATCTTCGAAACCCATTTTCTTTGCAGGTCCATGTTTATTTTGGTCCATACTGTTACCTCTTTAAATATTTTTTATAGCACCATGAATATATGTATTTTTTTGGTACCTCATAAATATGTCTCCCGCCTATAACCCAAACAGTCTCATAGACGCTCTTAAATGCATTGTCTTCTAATTTCTCTATGCATGACTCTAAGCTATTACTGGCATATACATCCTTACAATTTTTTAAATCCAAATTTGAACGGGATAAAACAAAGTTAATGCGATTTTGTAATGGTTTGTATTTTGTGGGTATACTATCCCATGTTTTTCTGCCCATTATAACTACGTTTTTCTTTGTTGGATCGATGGTTTTGCTTGTCATTCTACTGAAGTAATCCATTTCTGATCTAAAAAGCTCTCGAATTAATAATTGTTAAATTGTTTATACATTTTTGTAAAATATTTACTTTAATTTCCAAGGTAAGTTATTGTTCTTCCCGATACCCATATTTTCGCAAGCAGCGGCAATTAAATTCAGTTTTATAGTCATTGTTAGGAAACAAATATCAATTCAATATATAAAAAAAATAGCAAAGTTGGTGATAAACCAATGGGACCAATAACATTAAAATTGAAAAAAAAAATGACTAACCTAACTTTTTATGCTGCGTTTGAAAAGTAGCTCGTTTAGCTTTTTTTACTCGATGCCGCCCCTTTTGCTTCGTTTGCTCCATTGATGTGGTTTGCTCGATGTCACGTGACCAAAAAATCTACTCGATCTGCTCGACGAGGTACATTTCAAACGCATCATTAATTTCTGTTAAATAAATGGCCGTGGCTAAAGTAACAGAGGTGTTACTATAATTATTTTATTAAAGTAACATCAATTACGTAACTGATGACATCATGGTAAAATTAATGTTACTTCTATTCTGGACTAAAGTAATAGAGCTGTTACTCTAATTATTTTGTTAAAGTTACATTAATTACGTATTACGTGGCTAATGTGAAGAGCGATAAGCCAATAAACTTATATGTCTGGATTTGCGCATTCTACAAAAAACACTTGGAAGTATTCCCAATATTATGTGCGACAGTTGCTTAAATTGGTATCATTTTGCTTGTGCTAGTTTATGTAAAGAACCCAAAACAAAAAAATTGGTTTTGCCGAAATTATTTTTAATTTCTTATAGATGTTCTGAGGTTCACAATTCAAAATGTACCTATTTAATTGAGCAATAATTAACTTAATTGCAATATTTGCTGTTTCCTAAGATTTTGTAAGCTTGTGTTTTATAATAGATATTTATGTGTTAAAATTTCTGTTACACAAGAAGTAAATTTATTTGCCAATATGTTGTTTTATTTGTTTTGAGTAGGTATGTGCATTTAAAATTACCTTTCTATTTATAGGGTTGCCACATTTGAAGAGTTCAATTCCGGGACGTCCTCCGTTCATGATAAATATTTAAAACAAAAAAAAACATTTGTAGTACCTATATACTTAGCTTTATGTCCATGTGTCCCTTTCTATTTATCTTAAAATTCATGTACGACAAAGAAAAACTCAAAAAAAAATTATGGACCCAAAAATTAAAGAAAGTCAGATTATATAGACCTATATTGTGAGAAACACGGCCGGTATCCCATATTCCTGCCGGTACATGCCGTTACATAAATGTGCCTTTCCTGCCTCCCCAGACAACACACCAAATCCCAGAGATATCCACAGAATATCTCTTGTGGATATCCAATATATCCACAGGATATCAGAAATATTCCGTGGATCTAATATGCCCCTGTACGGCAAATAAAAATAACAAAAAATAAGGCACCTTGGCTTACAGACACAATAAAAATAATGATTAAATATAAAAACAGGGCATTAGAGAGATTCAATAAAACAAAAGTTCCTAATCATTGGGAGTATTACAAAACTCTAAAAAATCAAGTTAATTACGCAATTAAGAGAGAGAAAAAAGCATTCCTGGAATTTAAGTTAAGACAAAAAAGTAACATATGGAAAGAATTAAATAATCTGAACATAACAAAAAATAAAAAATCTACTATTCCCAATGAACTAAAAAATCCTGAAATAATAAATAATTATTTTATTCACGGTATTGGTGGCCTAGATAACCCAGACATACACATTTTAAATCATTATGAGTCTCATGTCCAAGAGAATCTGCAAGATTTTAAGTTTACCGAAGTTAATGAATTAAAAGTATATGAAAAATTACTCTCCATTAAATCCCATGCTACTGGTCCGGATGAAATAAATATTGTAATGCTGTTACATACTTGCCCTACAATTCTACCCTACGTGACACATATAGTCAATCATTGTATCAATAATTCCACCTTCCCATCCTTATGGAAACAATCAAAAGTATTGCCGCTTCCCAAAAAACAGAACCCAACTGAATATTCTGATCTGAGGCCAATTAGTATACTTTGTACTCTGTCAAAGGCTTTTGAGAAAATTTTAGACGAACAAATTCGCTTTCATATTTCACAATTTGATCTTCTACCTAAACATCAATCGGGCTTCCGTCCAAAATACAGTTGCACTACAGCGTTACTTAAAGTATTAGACGATATTTACTCGTATATAGATGCTAAAAAATTATGTATACTAATTCTCTTAGATTACTCAAAAGCTTTTGACAAAATAAATCACTCTTTACTGTTAGCTTTATGTCATTTTATGGGATTTAACACAGCCTCAGTAAATTTATTGAGCTCTTACCTAAATGGAAGATATCAAAGAGTTCAAATAGAAGAAAAAACATCCAATTTAATACATATTACACGTGGAGTACCGCAGGGATCTATTTTAGGTCCTCTCTTATTTTCAATTTATACCTCTCAATTTTTTAAATATCTGAAACACATGAATTCTCATTTCTACGCTGATGACACTCAACTCTACCTTGACTTTAAAGAATCCGAATCGAATGGCGCTATCACAAAAATCAACGAAGATCTGCAAACTATCTCGGAGATATCTAACAAATTTTGCTTAACAATTAACGCTACAAAATCCAGAGCTATGCTTTTCGGCCGTAAACAAGTTAAAAATAGAATTAAAAATATTCTAAGGGTAAGTATTAACAATGAATTTTTAACATTCTCAGTTTGTGAGAAAAATCTGGGCATATACATTGATGAAGATTTATCCTTTGCGCAACATATCTCTTCTATAATAAAAAAATCTTTCTGTAATCTAAAGTTAATTTATTCTAATCGGGAATTTCTCAACAGAAATACCAAAAAGTTGCTTTGCGAAAGCTTAGTGCTGTCTCAGTTTAATTACGGTGACATTGTATATGGGCCTGCACTTACACAATTTCATAAAAACCGTTTACAACGAACTCAAAATGCGTGTGTTAGATTTATTTGCGGGGTTCGTCGTCGTACCCGTACATCTCAACATCTGGCTAGTTTGGGATGGCTTAATCTAAATAATAGGAGATTGTTACATGCCTATGTCCTGATCCATAAATTATTGTTATCAAAAAAACCTGATTATTTGTATGAAAAAATAAAAAGGAGATCTGAAGTCCATAATGTTAATGTAAGATTTAAAAATTTCCTAACACTTCCGAAACACACTACAACCTTATTCCGATCTTGCTTTTCGTATTTCACAGCCAAATTATTTAACCTTGCCCCTAAAATATTCACATCACTCTCAAGTTTTAGAAAAGTAGTCAAAAACCTTTTATTTAACGGAGATATCACTTACAATTTTTAATTTATATTGTTAATTAAATTTAGTTTAACAATAATATTTCATGTTATTTCTATTTTTTACTCGTCACTATTGATTAATAACTACAATAACAACACAGATCTAGGATTTATAAAATTTGACCTTTGTTTTTATTATTTCTAAGTTTCCATATTAATTGTTTGTTTGCTTTCTTATTGAAAGCTAGAATTTCACTTTTTTTCATAGAAAATCTGTATGCATTACTTAATTATTTATATTTTTCTGGGTTGCGTGGAAGAGCGCTGCTTATTTGCTGGCTCAATCTTTGAGCTCGCCAGTAAGTGCGAACGTCGCCTTTTGTCTTTCAGCATTTTTTTATGTATATTTATATAATTTTGTATAATAATTTGTATGTATTGAAAGCAATAAAGTCATTATTATTATTATTATTATTATTATTATTATTATTATTATATCCAAATGTCCGTCTAAATCCAGAATATAGAAGATATCCTAATGGATATTCAGCAAAATATCTAATGGGTATCTTCCAGAAAATACAAGAAATGCCAGAAATATCCACAGAATATATTTTGTGGATATTCAATATATCCAATATGGATATCCAACCAAATGTCCGTACAGCGTTGCCAACTCTACGTCTTTTTACCTAGATCTACGTATTTTAGGCCTTTCCTGCGCATCTACGAACTTTAGTCCCACAATCTACGAATTTTTTTTTTCAAATGGTACAAAGCAAAATAACATAACTTATTTATATTAGGGCCGATTCCACCGTTGTGTTAAACGGAGATTAAAATGACATTGTTAATGTAAAAATGTCATTTTAAACTTCGTTCAACACAACGGTGGAATCGGTCCTTAGTATGCTAAAGAAGCATATTTTCCGTGGCGCCCCTGTCTGCGGGACAAATTATGTAGCGCGGCGATTCGTCTCAAATGTTTACCTTACTGGCCCAATTTGCACAAAATTTATTAACATTGCCACATAGCAATGTAAATGTCGAGCGTCTGTTTTCTGCGATTAATTTAATGAAAACTAACATCAGAAACAGACTTTCTACCGATACGTTAACAGGCTTACTTTTCACGTAAAGTGGCTTAAAGAGAAACAGCGAGCCTACCCAGGAACGCATTAAGTGTTTTAATAAATATATGTATAAATTTAATTTGCCTAAAAATAATAAAAATTGACTCTTTCTCTCCCGTTCTCTCTCTTTTTCTCTTTCTCCCTTTTTCTCTCTTTTTCTACCGTTCTCTTCCTTTCACTTTTTCTCCCATTCTCTCTCTTTTTCTCCATTTCTCTTCTTCATTTTACTCATAAAAAAAAGTACGTAGATCTACGAACTTTTTATATGAAAATTTTTCAAAATCCGAGTTGGCAACACTGGTCCGTCTATATCCCAGGATATAGAAGATATTCAGATATTCAGCAAAATATTTTATGGGTATCTTTAGTAGATGTTCATAAGTAACCAATGATTATTGAATAACGTCGAAAGAAAATAGCAGAGATAAAAAATATTTTCAACACTCTGCCTTTGATTTTGCTCACTAAGGAGAAAGTCATCCTTATTAGGACTCTTCAGCAATAAATGAAAATTCTCGACTCCAGTCTCTAATGGAGTGATTAGGACGAACATTTCGATCGAACTCAATTACGGCGGGTCGAGCATGAGTAGATGCGATAGTGGTATCGCCATCTATACTTAGTAAGCAGAATCAAATAACATCTAGTGGATATCCACGATGGTTTGCGTTCGCGCCTAGACTTTGATATATTTAGTGGATGTTTATGGGATATTGAATACACCTTAAAAAAATTAATTTTAAATATCTGAACGGTACTATTAGCCACAATGGCGTAACCATGGAGGAAGGATTGTCTATAAATTACATTTCAT